TCAGCATTTTAATGATAGATGAGACCATTATGGAGACAATTCTTAATTCGCCGCATTCGCAGAAGCGTTCTTGAGTGACTAACAGTCTTATGCAGGCAACGTTTAAGTCTTGCAGGTTGAGCCCCACCAAATGCGATCACATTTTGGACGAGGTCGGGTGGGAGGCAAATTGATCATCAGTGGTATGAGGATTTTTTGTTCTTCCTCGTTCAATTCGCTGAGGTATTTTTTGACTACAGATCCACAACTTAGAGGAGGGCATTTCCATAGCATAGGTAAAACAATATCATGTAATAATTTGTTGACAAGCAAAATATTATAAAGACTCTGATTGTCTTTGATGAACGTTAAAATTTCGCGAATGCATTTTTATGTTGCGGCTTAAGATCATAAGCTATAAAATCCGAAAGTTGTATTCCTTGTGCGCTGATAATTAATCCGCGATGAAAATTTAAGAAATTTACGCTATTCATGCCGCCTACAATTTGATATCTATCAAATACCTAAATGCTTATATATAATTTTTGCATTAAACCGCATACCGTACGTACGTACGTCTGAGTGCAATGTTTCTTTTTTGAAGGTCTGTACTAGTGTTGCAGGGGAATTTTTTCCACAATTGTGGAAATGATTCCTCTGTAACACTAGTCAGTGCTAACGTACAGTATTACTTTATTATAAGACCCTTCTTTTTTGTTTAGTATCGCACTAAGTTGTACATCGTACGTACGAAGTTTATTTGTGCGTGTGGTACTTAAAGAATATAGCCAATTAGAAGACATAAATCTTATTTATTTAGATCAGCAAAAGCAGAAATACAAGAAAACAAATCCTTAAATTGGCCTTGTGGCACTAATCAAAAATGCTGAAATGAAATTTTGCAGATGGGTCTGACCTCTATTTCATAAGTTGGGTACCAAAAACAAAAACAAAAATGTCAACGATAACAACGATAACTACTAATGAAAATAAAGACATCAGAAATGAAGGCAAAAATATAGATGACGAAAACAATATGATTGATGTTATAGTCATTAAATCATATAAAATTAACTCGGAATTATTAAATAAATACTTGGCACAATTACCTCGAAACAATAAGCTTGATAATATTCGCAAAATGCTCCTAAAAAATGAATATGATAGTGATGATGATCTCAATATGGGATCAAATTGTCGTTTTTTACATTTTTCACAAGACAAAGCGGAAATTAATCCAAGTAAAGAATCTAACTTCGGCCTTTTAGATATCGTTGAAAAAAAAGATAGTAAATATTTTTTATATATTATTCAGAAGGCTGAATATGATTTAACCCAATTAAAGTTTGAAAAAGGATTCAAATTTAATAAAGATAATTCTGTAACTAGCGCATCCATTCAAGCATTCTAAATTAATTTTAATAAGATTAAAATAGTTAAACAATACGAGCAACATGAAATAGTTTATGAATGCAATCACGAAACAACTGCAGAATGTAAACGATCCCTAATTTTTGATGTAAATCTTTCAGCTGCCTTTCCAGAATGGATTTCTGTTTCAATTAAGTTATCGCATGAAAATTCAAATCAAATGCTTAAGCTACATATGGCGAATACCAGACATTCATGTGAACGGACAATAAGAGGAGTAATATCTATTTTAAATGAAAATATTATTGTAGAAAAAAAGTTTATTGAAGATGTTGAAAATGTGGTGAATGATACAATTAATGATGATAAAATAAGTAAACTTTACGAAATATCAGAAAAGTACGGCCATTTTTATGCACGGCGTCTTATTTTAGGTGGAACAATAATAAGGAATAAAGAATATACTAAAAATTCGGGTGTGTTTTTGAAGTCTGAATTCATGTCTTGTGATGAAACGTGATAAAAGCGTTTTATGATAAATTCTGATATGAATTAATGTGTCTAAGATATTACTCTGTTATTTTGTCATATCTAATCTTTCTTAGCCGAAAAAACCAATACAAAAACTACCAATGTACAAGGTGGAGTCGGAATCGCAAGCATCCTTAAGCCTGAATTTAATGTTGTTAATGACAATAAGGATATGGATAACAATTATAATAGCAAAACAAATTGCCTTGAAACCATTATTGGTGGAACAGAAAATTTTCAAGATAAAGATCTTTGGAGAAAATCTCTTAATGATGAAACTAAATGGAAAATAATCGGATATGAAGGAGTTTATTCATTATTTGAATTATTAGATAATGAATTGAAAAAAAAAGTGTTGAACGTCATGGGTCATCAAATTTTAGAAGGTAAAGCTTAATATTATTCATATAAATTATTTATATCTTTAATTAAGATTTTAATTATTAATCTCTTGGTTAATAATAGCCAAAATCGATGACATCTCTTTCAACACAAAAAAATATGAAAAAGATAAAAAACCATATATCTATAAAGAGTTGCCGAAAATCAAAAATATTAGCGAGTGCAATATCCTTGCATCAATTATGAGCAAGGAATACAATGTATTTTCGCTACATATGGATTATATGAGCGGAGATAAAAACCGTCCTGTGATTGTTATTCATCATATTCAAGGTGAAAAAACTTTAATACCTCATAATAAAGTTAAAGAAGTTAAAATTAAACTCGGATGGATTATCGTTGGACCACAAACAAGCTTCGATTTTAGTACCAAATATCCACAAATATTTAAAAGTAAGAAATACAAACTTCTTAAAGATAAGGTGCCTATAATAAGTAACGATGACGGCATGTTTGGCACTTGCGTCTTAGAAGCAACTAATATTACTCAAGTAGAAAATAGCTCGGATAAAGAAACGGATGCTTTCCCAATCGAACACGACCCAAGTAAGTTATCACTTGTCACTGGCAATTACCTTAAACGCAAAGAAACTGTATGTCAAGTGCTTGCACAGTGGTTTGTTTATGACATTAAAAAAAAAGAACCAGTAACCAACGAAGATGTCTTGAAAAGATTGTCTTTCTACAGTTGGTAAGTTCCGTAAAATACTGCTGACCACCGTTTACAATACTGCATCTCCCAAAATAGTATCCTATTTCATAAAGTACTCCTACATCAGTGAAATCAATAGTGTACCTGCTGTTATTAAATTTTAATAAAAAGTTCTTGAATAAGACTCTAGATGCAGTAGGCAGTGGTCAACTGTAATATTTTAATTTCCCGAATTTTATAATAAGAGATCACATTTGCTTTATTAAAGTTTCAGTTGTCAATACCTATTTCTAATTTATAATAAAGTTTTATTATAGTGTTTTCGATAAAACAAATTCTCATCAAGTTAAAATTAAATGGAAGAATGGATCAAATAAGAAAATATTATATAGTACTGAAGAAATTAAAATCTCTAATGATAGTTTAATTTTGGTGAATCAAATCTTCAACCATGATGATTGTAAAGATTTTCAACCTCTAGGATTTATTAATATTATTTCCGATAAAATTTTTTATGGTTCATTAAATTCAGAAAATTCAAAACGTCCGAATGTAATTGTTTATCTACCAATTCCTCTGAAGTCTACTACCAAAAAATAATAGAAAGCTCTGTGAATTACAGTGCTCTGGATTAATACGGTTATTTCATAATTATGAAAAATTCACCATTATCCGTCAGATTACTATGATCGCGCTACTAAATAAGTGTACATTATTGGACAGACGACAAAAAATAACAGTCAATTGTTTTTTTTGTCGGAATTAATGTCACTCCAT